CTCTCTCTCTCTCTCTCTCTCTCTCTCTCTCTCTCTCTCTCTCTCTCTCTCAGAAGTTGCGCATCTAAATAAAGCAACAACAACATGACAGGTCAAAGTTAGATCGCCTGAACACTTCACAGTTAACCTATAATATTTTCTCATTTGGCTATATAAGGTTCTTTCGGAAATAGGCGTTAGTTTCTGAAGTAGCTCCTCTTAAATAGCCTTACATTGCTGCATAAGGCACTAAACCCATCAAATTTAGCCCTAAACCTACACGTTCTTATACTATTCATACTTCTCTGACCGTCCAGCCCTAAACCTATCAAATTTAGCACAAAACCTAGAGTATAAGAAAGTAGAGCCCTAAATCTATCAAATTTAGCCCTAAACCTATCAAATATAGCCCTAAACCTATCAAATGTAGCCCTAAACCTATCAAATTTAGCCCTGCCCTAATCCAAGAGTATAAGAACGAAGAGCCCCAAACCTATCAAATCACGCATATTAATTTAAAAAAGGAAGATTTTTTTAGTGGTGTGTAACCCCCACGAAAGCGCTACGCGGTCCGCGATGTGGCGTGGACGTGAGCGGTGAGCAGCTGGTGACGTCACTGGCAATAAATTGTGAGTCCGTGGGAAACCGGGGAGAACTTCCTGAAACTGTGGGCTTTTTTTTTTAGAGAGAGAGAGAGAGAGAGAGAGAGAGAGAGAGAGAGAGGGGGGGGGTCGTTTTCTGTTTGTCTAGCATCACAAATAATACACTGGGGATATTCTTTCCGCTAACAGTACAACAACAAGGGGATTTACGTCTGTGTTTAGTTTTGGTGGTGAACACTTCCCTCTCTCTGTCTCTCTTTCTCTCTTTCTCTATCTTTCTCTGTCTGTCTGTCTGTCTGTCCGTCAGTCTGTCTGTCTGTCCGTCTGTCTGTCTGTCTGTCTATCTCTCTTTTTCTCTCTCTGTGTGTCTGTTTGTCTCTCTCTTTCTTTCATTTTCTCTCTCTCTCTCTCTCTCTCTCTCTCTCTCTCTCTCTCTCTCTCTCTCTCTCTCTCTCTCTGTCTGTGTCTTTCTTCTCCCTCTCTCTCTTTTCTGAAGGATATTCTGATGGGAACACTGGTCATTTTAAGAAGAGAATGGGCGAAATCACTTGTGTGGAGGCCACAGTGAGTATTGCAAGTGGGCAGCAGTGAGACAGACAGACAGACAGACAGATGTACAGACATAAAGACAGACAGATAGACAGACAGGCAGGCAGACAGACAGACATGCAGACAGACAGATGTACAGACAGATGTACAGACATAAAGACAGACAGACAGGCAAACAGACAGACAAATATACAGACATATAAACAGACAGAAAGACAGACAGACAGACATGTGTGAGAGTTCAGAGTAAAAGATGTAAAAAGTTCGGGACATGAGGAAAAAGTGAATGAGTGTGTGTGTGTGTGTGTGTGTGTGTGTGTGTGTGTGTGTGTGCGCGCGCGTGTGTGTGCGCGTGTGTGTGTGGTGGGGGGGGGATAAATGAGCCGGGACTCACGGCAACTAACCCCCTCC